TATATCAAGTTTCTACCTCAGCATCCAAGGTTTTGTTGCGACTACTGTAAACTCAACCAAGTCACAGTGACAGATGCGGAACCCATCCCAGACCCAGAGGAAATCTTCAGTAAATTAGCCACTGACCGATTTTTCGCAAAGATAGACTCGACCAAAGGCTACTGGCAAGTGCCTCTGACTGACAAAGCAAAGCCACTCACAGCTTTTGTGACACTGGATGGCCTGTTTCAGTTTAAGGCTATGCCTTTTGGTTTGGTGAATGCTCCGGCGGGCTTTAGCCGAATCATGCATGACTTGTTGCGTGGATTAGACAATGTTGATAATTTTTATTGATGATATTCTTATCCACACAGCCACCTTCGAGGAACACCTGACCAATCTCAGGATGGTGTTAGAGCAACTAGGTGCAGCCAATCTGAAGGTGAGACCAACGAAGTGCGTCATCGGAATGTAGAATTTCTCGGGCATCGAGTAGGACGTGGTGAGCTACCACCAGTTCCAGACAAAGTGGAAGCGATCCAGAGTGCGCCTCAACCAAAAACCAAGAAACAGCTGCGCTCGTTTCTTGGCCTCATAGGCTACTATCGACGGTTCGTTCCTTACTTTGCTGCACTAGCAGCTCCATTAACAGACAGAACTAAGAAAGGTGAACCTATACAGGTAAAATGGGGTGCAGCTGAAGAAAGTGCTTACAAGGCACTTACGCAGAAGTTGACACAGGAACCTATTCTTCACCTTCCAGATCTGAATCGACCTTTCATCCTGAGGACAGACGCATCAGACGTAGGTCTGGGTGCAATACTCCTGCAGGATTACGATGGGAAAAGGTTCCCAATTGCATACCAGTACGCAAGTAGAAAGCATCTCCCAAGGGAACAGTGTTATGCACTAATGGAGCGGGAGTGTCTTAATGGTCTAGGATATCCAGAAATTCGAATCATACTTGTATGGGAAGCATTTTCACCTCGAGACAGACCATCAGCCGCTTAAATGCATCATGGACACGATAAACAGCAGTTGAAAGAAAATAGGAGTTGATGTAATAGATCATGCTGAGATGAGGTCATAAGATTTAGTTTGTACAGTGTTTCTTACTATTTTGCTCACTATTTCTTTCTATTTTTCTTTCCTGTATATCATTCATTTCCTCTATATGTTGTATTTCTTGGTACCACCAACCCACTACTACTCACCCCACACAAAGATTTAATATCTATATATGTTTTTGTATGTGTTCATTGTTTAATTTTTAAAATAACTATTGTATTTTTATATTGTAATTTAAGCAGGGGATGATCCCCGATAAACCTCTATGGTTTTTGATCACCCCCTCTGCAGGTTCATCTTTTGTTGTAATGCTTTTATATTTGATTGTAATTTATACTGTCTTTCATGAATCTGTAGAAATTAATGAAATTGAAATTGAAATTGAACATTCAACATGTTCATCAAGACACCTCACACATCACAGTTCATTTAGCTATGTGTACTTGGTAAGAACATTATCTCCAACTAGAATCATCAACTTAGTGAAGGTCAAAGTCTGAGTGAAAGTGTTCCCTTCATGGAGGCAGCTAGAGGCATTCAACTGGCAAAAAAAACGGACCTTCTGAAGCATTGCGACACCATGCCTATGCATAAGAGAGAGTTTTAAATGGCATTTGTAACGTCGCGACATACGTTAATTGTTTTTCCAAATCAAAGCAAATACGGACAGAGCTTGCTGCAACAACATACCTACTTGTTTTGCCAGATCATAGTGCAGCGGCACGAAACGTGCATATTAACATATGTTGTTTTGCCAAATTATGTACAAGATGCAGGGTAAGCAGGGCTCGAATTTAGCGGTGGCCCGGTGCCAATGGCCACCTGAAATGCTGTCGGGCCACCTGAAATCACCGACTAGATGGCCCGGTTGACCATCCAAATATTTGGACAGTAATATATAAATTATTTATCAACAACTTGTTTAACCTTTAGATCTACCCGAAACCGAGGCGACATTTATTTTTCCAAGCTTTTCCAAGCGACGCAATCCGATCTATCAAACAAGGAAATGTTTCGTTTCGCATACTAACTTTATAAAAACGATGCACGACGTCGCGTAGGTACTGTACACACCGCCGCCACCACCCCGGCCCGGCCGGTACATAGGCGTAGCGCTATCATAGTATGCTACCGCGTATAGGGCAGCTGTCGATATCCGCATTGCAGCACAGCTAGTACGCTTCTCAACTCTTTGTTGCGCAGTTACAAACTGCGCATGAGATTTCGGGCGGGTAAGTTGGGGATTCCCAAATCCCAGCATTGTGATTGGTGTATTTGCGACTAATTGTGGACTATACTAAGCAACGAGGGAACAACAATGGGTGTGTCTGGTATTTGACATTATGATTGGTGGAGGTAATATTGATTGAAAATAAAGGTAACTCAATCAGTGTGTACGTGTGGAAGCCGTGCGAGCTTCATAAAATGAGAATTTCACGTGTTTTTTGTTTGATAACAACATACATGTAGGCCTACGGCGGTACGCTTTGTTGGTGATAATGTACGCTGTTCTGTTGTTTTCCGTGATTATCGATTGAATAATTGATCTGTTATTACTAGGTAGCAATCATCATTGATGTTCATTAGTTTAAGTTAAATGGGGGATGTTCACGTTTTATTTGTAGCACTACATGGACCTTTTTAACTAAATATATATAAGGCCTAAATAATAAAAAAAATTCAGGGCCATGAATTTTGATGGAAAACAAATGGCAAATAATTTGCTAAAATCTGATCTTGTGTCCTGTACATAACATGTATGCGAGGTATCCCTGTCCACTGACGCGTAAATTATTTGAGCAGTAATGCCTGAATCACATTTCCTCTAGCTCTACGGAGCCCGTACGATGTTTAAAAACAGCCGTTTCGACCAATTTCGTACGGTGTGGTTCGTACGAAATTGGTTTAAACGGCTGTTTTTAAACATCGTACGGGCTCCGTAGAGGAAATGTGATTCAGGCATAAGAGAGAGCGATAGACGGATCGAGGTAACGCAGCCCCGTCTCTGACAGTTTGTTTACGAGACTTTTACGATTGCCGATAAGGCCAAGTAAAAAAAAAAAGTTTTGTTTATCGTGACTTTCCTTTTTCTGAAACAATTGATGTGGAGGTCCTACCACCTTGTTTAATAACACTAGATCAGGGAAAGGCAATAGTATACTCTGGTATTGTTACGTAGAAGATTCAAGATATAGTCTTACAATACTTATCAAAAGTCTACCGTTATAAAATAGGCGGCTATTATATAGAAATTAAAAAAATATATATTTGAGTCTTGAGAAAAAATTCATTAATTTATTTCAATTGGCCTACTTTCAGAATAATATTTGGATCTTTTTAGGAGTTGCCGGTTTGATTCTTTATTGGTTTCCTTCCCAATGTCAACCAATTTCTAAACAGATAATATGAATAATAATACAATAATAAATAATATGAAATTTATCATCGATCATCAGTAGTAAATCACTTGGTTGAAATGTACGGAACGAGATGCAAATATTAGTTTTAAATGGTCCTCCACGTGCTAATACATGTACAGGCTTCGTTATCCGCTGTACAACTTGTACATGTGCGCGTTTGTTTTCTACCTGAGCAAAAGTCGATCAGAATGATCTAAAAGTAAGTCTTCTAAAGATGTGGCGATTCCTTAATGTGTCTAACCCTAAAGAAGATCGGGACAAAAGAAAAAGGGAAGCAAGGGAAGAGTACGAGAATGAGAAAAGGAAACGCACGTACCGAAAAGAATGGGAACGAGATTTCAACTGGTTGTCATACGACGACGACAACGGCGTCATGGTTTGCCGCATTTGTCGGGAAACCAATATGACTGGAAAACCCGGGACAGGAAGAAATATCTTCTTTGACGGATGCAGTACTTTTAAACTGTATTCCATCAAGAGACACGACGAAAGCGACAACCATCAACGCGCGATGGGGGCCAAAGCCGCCCGAGAGGCACTACCAGGGACTTCGAAGGCGGAGAAGATGGTCCAGAAGATGAACCAAAAAGTTGTGGAGCGTCTGATAATAATATTCAGAAATGTTCACGCAATGGCCAAACACTGCCGGCCATTTACCGACTTGGTTTGGATGGCATCACTTGACGAAGCTAAAGGGCTAGATGTCGGCTCGACTTACCGGAACAACAAATCTGCGCAAGTTTTCACTAGCTTCATTGCAGAAGTGAGTTTATTTATCAATATTTAATTATTCATGTGATTGTCCTTTTAACTTTAATTAAATTTAAAAAAAAAAATGATAACTGGCACATAATCAGGGCACATAATTTATGAATGATCGAAATAAATTTATATCATGCGTTAGCCTTAAGTTAGGCCTATAAGTCGGGGAGTTATTAAGCATGAGAGACGGAGGAAGGGTTGGAGTGAGAGAGAGCCCAGACCATGTGTTTGTGTTTGTTTCTTGGTGTACAGAGAAGCATTTAATCACTTGATTTACAGGGTAACACCTTGAAAGTACCTTGCCAAAACCGAAAAGGCAATTTGCAGCCATCCTAATTTATTTAGTTGTTTCAGTTTGTTCTTATAGGTAACTGACTCAAGGGCGGGTAGCCCATATATAATTACATGCATATTCTTCACTGTCCATGCTAAGAAAACATGCAGTGCAATAAAATGTTGTCTTGAAGAAAAAAAGAACAAAAGAAGAAATTCCGACTTAAATTATTTTGAATGACTTGGTGCTAATCTTTCCGTGTGTGGTCCTCTTTAACTGCATGTATTTTTGCATGATTATTGACTGATTATCCAATCCAGAATAACCAGAAAATATAAAAATAATAAATTACAAAAATACCATTTATTCAGTTCAGAATAGAAGTACAACGTCAAGTAAATATACAATCAATTTTATATCTTCCAACAGAACTTGGAGCTCAAAGAAAAGCAGAAGTTTGGCGCCTTGTGTGCCCTGTACAATCCTAACTTAAGGGGGAGGGGGTCCTTGTGATGCATGATAGTCAAGGAGAAAGGGAGAAAAACATTGAAGTGAAGTTGAGACAGAAGTATAGAAACAAAGAGAGAGGATTTGGAATGAGAGTCTAAAGAGTCACTCACCTTTCATTATTAAATGCAGCTCATGCTGCTTTTAACACGTATAATTTATGCATTTTTTTATTAAACATTTGCATTATTTAATAACGCATAAAAGTGGGGCCACCTGAAAATCCATTTGGCCACCCAGATCTCCTACCCAAGTGGCCCTGCTGGCCACCTCAAAAAAAAGTTAAGGGCAAGCCCTGGTAAGTCGTGTGCTGGCAAAACAACGTATCCCTACAAGATCATTGATAGATTGAAAAAAAAGTGTTTTATTGAATAATTTTGCCCTTCATAGTAAAAATATATTATCCGCTAAATGTACCAGACAATATATCTTGCAAAATGATTCAACTTGAGAGAAATAAGAACACTTTTAACTGTAAAATTGAAAATCTCTGCTATCTTGGAAGTAGCGAAACAGACATACGTTGTTTTGCCAGATCACGGCTAATGGCAGAGATTAGCTAAACATGAGCAGTGCATTCATGATCGCAGGGTTTTTACAAAAATCAGGTATACAGAATACATGATATTCCACACACTTCATTACAATGGAAGGTTGATTTTACCACCTGCCAGCCACGCCTTCCTCATCGCGAATCCAACCAGGGCGGCCACGACGGCTAGCTTACCCATCGTCCAGATGAGTGACCCTTCATACCCGTGACACGTCGTCTCCTTCTGCCCCTTCCTCCCATCTAAAGCCCTTAGAAGGCCGCCGCCCACTTCCTCCGCAGCCTCGGAGCTCTGGCTTCCACGTTGAGGTTGGGGTCGGAGTTCAAGGGTCACCTCGTCAGCGGCCCTCAACCCTGCTTGGACGGCTCCGTTCAGATAGCCCATCCACTGGGTGGCTGTCTCGGTGCCAGCCCAGTGTATCCTGTTATGGGGATTGTGGACAAGAAATACATAATGAGACTAGATGGAATTCGACTGCGCGCAGTCGAAAATGATGCCTCCGTCATAGAGCAATTTAACAAACCAAAACATAACACATTTTTCGAATTCAAGTTCAATTGTAATCCATTAACAGGTTCTCAGAATATCGTGATTACAAGCAATTTCTCATATACATATATGACCCTTTGATCTTTGACCTCATGACCCTAAAATCTACTCAGTTCATTGGCTCTGCAAGATGTCCTGAGTTAAATAGTAATCCATCTGTCAGTTCTAATGAGAATGTGTTCACAAGCTATTTCTGCATACATAATGAGCCCATGACCTTTGACCTTTGACCTTATGAACCAAGAATCTACTCAGTTCATTGGCTCTGCAAGTAACATACATGACCTAATTTTGGCAGGAATCCATCAATCGGTTCTTGAGAACGCGATCACGAGCTGTTTTTGCATACATAATGTGCGTTGTGGCCTTTGACCTTTGACCTCATGACCCCAAAATCTAATCAGTTCATCTGCTCTGCAAGTAACATACATGACCTAAGTTTAGCAGCAATCAATCAATCGGTTCTTGAGATAACGCAATCACGAGCTGTTTTTGCATACATAATGTGCGCTGTGGTCTTTGACCTTTGACCTCATGACCCCAAAATCTAATCACTTCATCGGTTTTGCAAGTAACATACATGACCTAAGTTTGGCAGCAATCCATCACTCGGTTCTTGAGATAACGCGATCACGAGCTGTTTTTGCATACATAATGAGCCCTGTGACCTTTGACCTTTAACCTCATGACCCCAAAATCTAATCAGTTCTTTGACTCTGCAAGATACATACATGACCAAAGTTTGGCAGGAATCCATCAATCGGTTCTTCAGATAACGCGATCACGAGCTGTTTTTGCATACATAATGAGCCCTGTGACCTTTGACCTTTGACCTCGTAACCCCAAAATCTAATCAGTTCATCGGCTCTGCAAGATACATACATGACCAAAGTTTGGCAGGAATCCATCAATCGGTTCTTCAGATAACGCGATCACGAGAACGGGACGTACGTACGTACGTACAGACGTACGTACGTACAGACGGACGGACGGACGGACAACCCGAAAACATAATGCCTCCGGCTACTTCGTAACGGAGGCATAAAAACAAAACACAACTTAAATATCAGACTTTTACAATACACGTACAGTCATTCTTAATTCAATAATACAGAACCATGTATGATTCTGAAGTTTTAAGCCTTTCATCTAAAGCCCTATCCCATATTACAAACACTGGACCATTCCTTTCCACCCAAACTAAGCACCTCTAAAACCAAGAAACAAGAAAACTATATTGATCATGTACAAGGGCAGCTTTATAACTAGCAGAGGATAAATAGAATCCTAGACAACCCGACCACTGGGCAGACCGACCCTAGAAAACCCGACCTAACACCCTGGACAACTCGACCAGGTCGAGTTGTCCAGGGTGGGGTACTTCGGCGGACAGGTCGACCCACTTTTGGAAAGACTTCCTTTTGCGACAGCCACCTAAACCGACCCTAACCCTATCCCTAACCCTATTTTACCATGTTTTATATATCATATTATTATTAGATATAGCATTCTAAGCTGTAAAAAAGTGGGTCAAGCTGTCAGCCGAAGCACCCCACCCTGGACAACCTGGTCGAGTATTGGGCCGGGTTGTCCAGGGTCTTTAAGTCGGGTCGTCCCCCAATAATTGAGATTTTTTTTCAGATTTGTGTATAAGAGGGAGCACAGAATGAAAGATTTTCCAGTGACTTCCATTTTTGCCAACTATTCAATATGACTCCAAACCTAATTGTTGATATTTTGATAAGATTTTGTTTTACAAATGTCAAATGAATTGCACTATTAACTCGAAACATCCATTTACCTTCCGTGGGGTGTCCTTATGGTATCCCAGTTTGCCATAGCACCAGGCGTCATTAGACTTACAGGACAGCCTCCGTTATATGGCTCTAATGCCCAGTCCTGCAAGAAGAGAGAAGATGGTTTTTGAGCATCACTTGATAATACACATGTAGATGAATTAACATGTAGATGAAATAAATACTTATACTTTTACAAAATCATTAATAACCAATTTATATCAACATAAATATGAACCCTGTACCTTGTGATCTGCAGTCGGGTGACTTATCCACTAGACCTTAATCTTGTGAACAATGAATGCTATCCTTATACTTGTCTACAAGTGTCCTATTACCAACATTCAAGATGACATGAAACTGATTACGAACAGTTTTCTTCAGGACCAAATCCAAACTGTTTACCTTTTCCATGAAGTCTATGGGTTTCTTTGCAGCGTCTCCAAAGAAATCTGCTAGGTGGTTCAATATGGCTGCCTTCCTGGTATCAACCTGTGAAGATAAGAAATACTTGGTTTACTGCATTCATAGTAGGCTTATTTCATTACGCTTCTTTCTATCAATTTCTGTATAAGCTGACATTTTCGCATACAGATATTTTCGCGAACGACAGGCTAAGAGACATTTTCTTAAGTCTTTGCTTTCGCGAATAGCACACAGCCGAATTAATGAATGGGCAACCTACATTTTAACTTTCAAAATCTGTAATCTTAACTCTGTAAACTTATTTGATTTTGAACTTACTTGTCAGTATTTCGTTACTTGTATAATAATTCATTTGTTATTGTATTACTGTATGGTTTATATATGTCATTCAATTGATGGATATTTGAGTGGAAAATAAATAAATAAAATAAAATTAAATTAAATCAAAATAAAAGAGTATTTGTTTTAACATGTAAATGAATGGCAACTGCGTGCATTCACTGACGTCTGTGTTGTAAGATACAGAAATGTGATGCCTGTCACACTTTACGTCATTGTTTTTCAAAACACTGAGGTTTAGCCACATCATGTCTGAACAAGGCCTAACAGGTGAGTGCAATCATTTGTGATTATAATGTTGGGATAGAAGCATTTATAAATTTGAATATGTATTTTGTTCATTGAAACACTAGTTAAAGAGAAGGTTGAGTTCTGAGAACAGGTGGACAATAATTTGTGAGCGTTATCACTGTATTATGCAAGTGTGAAAGAACATCAGATACAAAGTGCTCGCTGAAAAGTATGGCTTTTCAAATGCCTTATTATTCTAAATATGGCATACTGTATAACATCATAAAATTCGGGACGGATTTTTATGCCACATGTTCGTGTAGTCCCATATATATCTTTTTGTGTACAGTGCATGTAACTTTACCAAGACTGGGCCAAATTTCTTATCATTTTTATGATTCCACAACCTTGCAGTACACACCAATACTTATCAACCTTTTAATAATAATAATAATAATAATACATTGCATTTAAAATGCTCTTAATACAATGTTTCTAAGCGCAAGAGAAAGAAGAAAGGATAAGGAAGGAAAAGTGAGAAATACTAAAGAAACATGTTAAAAACATGATCGATTCCACAATGTTTCTTTCACTATGCAATCGCATGATTATCGAAAGATAAAATACTATAGGTCGAGTCTTACGCTAACTTGTCCCCACAGACTGGGGTTTCCAATGAAGCCGACGAGGGCGGGGTTACCCTCTGAGCTGGTGGCGTCAAGGACGTACTGAATGGGTGCCTTGTTGCACCCGGGTACCGTGGCGCAGCTACCGTTACAGACGATCTCACCAGAGTAACCAGCTTCTCTCCAAAATGCCTGGGGGAAGGAAGAACGATATATGAGGGACCTTTCAACATCATTCCCATCAAAAGCCAGGGGAGCATTTTACAAAGATTAAGATCGACTTTAGCTATAGCAGGCCGTTCATGCCACTAGTTCCTCTAACCATTCCTGGCATTGGTCTCTCGAGGGACGTGCGAATCATGGTCACAAATCTACAGAATTTGCCTTTTTTGATAGTTCATTAGTGAAGGAAAAAATATTATATAAATATCATAATTGAGAGACCAATGGTAACAGCAACCAGTGGCATGAAAGGCCTGCCATAGTTAAGACCAACTTAAATTCGATCTCAGTGTTTGTGAAACACCCCCCAGATGTTGCATTAATTCATACCTTTCCCTTAACACTATGGCAATCTTTCCTATTCCAATTTATAAAATCATCTCAAGAAGTATAATGCCCACAAAGACCGATGGAAAATAATTTGAATTTGAAACACTGACCAAGAACGTTGAATTTGTGAGAAAATGTAGGGCAAGCGTCATGAGCGCCCACCAGACGCGGACACTGGCGCTATACAAGAAGGCATCATCACCATCATACATTTATGAAAGTTACATATGCCTACATGTAGTTCAGATATTCCTTATGGTGGCAGCAATGACCTACTTCCATTTGCTAAATTATGTAGAAATGATATAATGACACTGATTAACATTGCACCAATTGTTCAATGAACCCCCTCCCCCTCCCCCCCCCCCCACCCCTACATCAACCCACCCTGCAACAAAGCCATGATGCACCACATGTACATACTCAACCAAACTAAACCGTTTCTGCGATTAAAAAACTACTTTTGACCTTTTTATACGTTGCAACAAACTTGAATAGATGACCTGGGTGCATAGATGTTGTCAGTCGTATTCTTCTTGTGGGCTGATCTGGTAAGTACTGTATCGATCCTGAAAGCCAAAATATACAGTAATTGATCAGTAAGCAGAGGTGTTGTAGTTGTGTTGTTTAAACACTTGACTGTAGATGCAAAGGCCACAGGTTTGATCCCCGGCTTGGCATGTGGTTAGATTGGCACATGTGCACTTGTGAAATGGTGCTTGGCTGGAATACTCCCCAGGAAGCGGAGTGAGTTCAATATCATGTGGAGATAAGCAATCAAATAAAAATGACCGGGTTAATACTAAAAACAGTTTAAAGTGTTTCCCCTCCTCATATATGATCTACCCGGGACCAGTACCTGCTAATACTTACAACAGCTCTTGTAGGAATTGAGACAGGTACAGCGAGGCATTGGCGCAGAGTTCATTTTAAATAACCCTTGTCTAAGTGGAATTGTTAACACATTGCTCACAGGGACCAGGTGGTCCCAGTGTTAAGCCTATGGAATAATATAATTCAGTAATCAATTAAGTTTTGTTGAAATGTTTTTAAATCTGAGCTTGTAAAAATTGCAATGTAACTTACCATTTTGCAGGTGTTCTAATAAACCATTCTACTACTACTACTACTACTATACTACTACTACCACATTAACAGGTTAGTCTACTACAAACTACTAAACCCCATTGTAAGTTACCTGTGCAGTGAGGGGGAGCAGCTACAATGATGTGCTTGCAGGTGAAATGCTTGCCAGACTGTGTGTGAACTTTGACCTTCTCTGGTTGGCTCTGGTCGATGGCAACGACGGGTTCGGACAGCAGAATGTTGGAGATGTCTATCCTCTCTGCTAGTTGGTGACTAATACCTTGCGATCCACCCTGTATGGGAAGATGTATATTTTACAATTTGTGACAATTATGCAATATTACTCTCTGTGGATTTATTTTATCTATTTTCAAACTAGCCAATAGAGAGAACTATTCAAAAGAATTGCTCTACCAATACAACCTAATCTTTTCTCACTTTTTTCCAATCCTTTATTCACACTTTCTCTTCCTTCTCCCTTCCCCTCTCTCTCTCTCTTTCTCTCTCTTTCTCTTATCTTCCTTTATCTCTCTCCTCGTTTTTCTCTCACTTCACTCTCATTTTATCCATCCACCTTTCTCCCTTCTTCTTGATTTTCCAATGTTACAAATGGTTTAGTATTGTTTCTAGTGTTAACTTTCCTTATCTGGTTCAATACTCTTTGGTATCCTTGTTTTACTTTGAAGATTTTCCTATACCATGCAAACCCCTTGTACTTACACTTATATCTTATAGCTTGTGTTTGAAGATTGGTTTTCATCACCAAATTAGTCAAATTTTCTTGTGCATTGCCAATGCAACAGGTATTTTTCTTTCTGTGTTTTATTATGGATTCTTAGCCCTACATATGTAGGTGTTGTGTATAATTCGACTATGATTATGTTCAGTATCATTTTGAAATGCGATACTCTAAACAATTCCTCTTCACTTCTAACTTTAATTTCTGTTCCTTGTCAATTTTGGTGAAGGTATTGTATTCTAGTATATAATATTAAATAATTCAACTACGTACATTTTTTAAGTATCAGTCTTTGGAATGTTTCTACAAGCATTTTTTAAAATCAATGAACTGAAATAATTTAATTGAATTTTTTGTTCTTTGCTCAACAATAACAGTTCATTTTCACTTAAGTTTTATTTTTTCATTTCCAACACTCATTTCAAATGGGTCAAAGGAATGCTGAAGCAAAGAGGAAATTTAGGACTGACCTTTATTCTAAGCTCCTGGGCCGATCCAACGGCTGTCTCCACCAGCTTCTCCAGTCCTCCGGATGAACTGAGGTAGAACATGTACGAGAGGGCGCTAATCTCTCGTAGCCTCAGACCGCTCACCACCTGCCAACCCGTCTCTATGGTGTCCCTGGCAACTGAAAAAAGACAGAGGGTGGCGTTCCATCAATTATCCGACTAAAAGTTGTACCATACAAATGACTGCACTGAAAAGGTGACATCAATGGCTATATCAAAGACAAATGATTCAACTTAATTTTTGCACAGTAGAAACTGCGTTGACTGAAATTCAATTGTTATTGCTTTGCAGTTTTACTAACTTATTACATGTTTCTCACAAGTTCCTGATGGCCATTGTGACATCATATAACCAATCCAAAATGGTGCACACTAAAAGTGCGCTGAAATCATTGTGTGCAGCTTATAATTACTGCGTATGGAAACCATATGTGCCTGCCAATCAAGGTCTCAAAAATAATTGGCTTAAATTAGCTAGGAAACTTTCATAAAGTTAGGCTGAAATATTTTTCCAAATGCTTCAACTGAATACCGAAGTTTGTTAAGTGTTTTGCTCAAGCCAAATACTGAGTAAAATAGTCATCTCTCTAAGATAAGTATTAAAATGAATACTGGCCTAGAACTCAAGCTTTAAAGCCTGTCTGCACTAGTTTGGTCAGGGGGATTAGACCTCCCTGCAAGGTCTCTAACAGGTGTTTATCTCATTTCGTTAGCTCTCAATTAACATAAGAAAAAGGGGATCATGGGGGACCAACAGGCACCAAATAGGCATTGTTTGCTATATAGAGGGCGCAAGTAGCTATAAGTAGTGCAGTGGGGCTTTAACATAGTTACCTGTTGTCCATGTCGAGCCTTCTACCAGTTGTTCTAGCGTCATGTTATCATACTCATCAGCTTTGACCGCTGTCCATGGCTCATCACTGGGCACGTACTTAGCAACGCTATCCAACTGTATAACAACAAAGAGATTATAGAGAGTAAATGCCTTTACTATAATGATTTTAAATCTCAAGACAATATCAGATCATTTCCTGAAAGAGTGCATGATAACCACCATCATTAAATATTTTCAAAAAATGACCAAACTTACAATCTGATATCACATACAAGCATGATTTACTGACTGCATTTCTAACATTTCACATTTCTTTTGTCACTCTTTACTTTACTATACTTCATACACTTAAAATAAAGACCAGAAAAAAGAGAAATAATTTGCAATCACATAGTAAATAAACATATATACAAAAATTGAGAGAGAGCAGTTGTGAGAGGGATAAGACCATTTAAATTCAATTTTATCAATAATTTACGGTGGATATTTTCTACACACATCATACTGATAATTTTTTTATTGTTGACAAATTCATAAGAATTATTTTAAAAAGACAGGAAGTGAGCTAATGGCAACACTTTACACATTTACAAGTTGAAAAGCATCTTTTTATCAACTGATTTCAACCACTCACTAATATGACTTAAAACTACCTTTTACTGTGTACAAAAAACTTACATTTGTGATAAATCTGTTGAGGTCTACAAGAGAAAGTAGTGGTAATGAGGGAATGCTATCATGATGTTCGGTTATACCAAACTCCTTGCCTGCCTGTAGAAGCCTCTTCCCGCTGTTGAATTGTGGGTAATGTTCTATACCGAGCTCTTCCAGGAGCCACAGGACATGGTGCTGTGAACTGAGGGTAAGGTAAGATATTTATTCATCAACATATTGCAGCCAAAGGCTTAATTGTATGCATGATTAACAAATATTTAAATATAAACATCTTATTTACAATTCGTTATTTCACAATAATTCAAGACCATGACAAATTTATTTTACTGCATAAAAACATAAGGACCATGTGGATATGAAAACAAATTAATAACAATGATAATAATAATAATAATGCAATTGATAAGTGGTGGTGGTTATTTAACCTGACTGCTAAGAAAGCATAAATGCTTGTTAGTAAGCAACCAGAGGATCGACAACTTTAGGTCCTTTTCGAGAGACCTGGTAGTGGATTAATGCCTTACCAAAGGGCACTAGCGCATCGACTTGGTTTCGAAACCGGGTTGCCGGATTACGAGACCACTGCTCTAACAACTGAGCTATCACACCTCCAATGCAAATGCAATCATGATGCATATCATGCTGCAAATCAATGTAACCATAGCATGGCTTGGAACTTATGCAATCAGAGCAGGTCTTTGATCAGGAAACATTCACCAGTTTTAAGAAGTTTGGACCAAGAAGTCATGGGGTGACAGATCCTTCAGTGCAGCCGCCCCGTGCCACTGGAATGCCCTCCCTTCATACATCAAATCAAGAGCATCAATTTCAGTTTTCCACTCATTCCTGGAAACTTGATTAAAACCTGCTATTGATGATCATTATAATCACTGTTGCACAATGATATCTGTGAAAATGTATCTGGATATAGTGTCTGATTTTATTGCATCTGATTATTGCATTGCCATTATTGTCATTTTGTTGGTTTGTATCAACTTGGATTATCTTGAAATTTCTTAACCGATTTGTAGGCCTTGGGTGCCATTATAGGCAGATACATGTATGTGCGCTTTACAAATCAAAATTAAAATTAATATCAATTAATATCACAATGGCAGTGATTTGGTTTTAAATCTCTTTCTATGTGTTTACCTTGACACCCACTGACCTCCGAGGTCCCACGAATCAGGTCCATGTGCTCCTTGCATCTCCACAGTCATCGTTCTTCCACCGATCCGATCTGATAGAAAGAAACAAGACACAAGGGATTAAAGGATCATTTAACAATGTTAAATCTGAGGTGCATGGCCTTATGTGATATGGTGTAATATTGAAGCCCTAAAAAAAATTGTCTATCAAAATGATCATGAAGTGCCTCAAAAAGTAAAAATCTTGGAGTGACCAGTTGTACCATACTCATTTTCCCCAATAGACTGTAGCGTTATAAAAACCGTTTGAAAAACGCAAAATTTGATTTTGATTTCCAATCATAAATATCTTGATAATCAGACAGGCTTGTAAAATTCATGGGATTCCTGTCTGACCAAAAAGTTTATAATTATGATTGCAGCATAAGCTTAATCCAGGATTTTGTTTCAGAATCTGAGGCAATGTTACTGAGTCACTTTAATTAAATTTTTCTTAAGGGGGTCTGGATCAAACATTTTACAGTCTGTATGCATGAGCCCTATAAAGGAACCTCAACATTCGAAGGGGGGTCCAGACTAAGTTACAATATGGCTGCTTGTTTAAATGTGTCCCCCCCCAAAAAAATGTCATTTCAAAATACCCTCTATCTCACTTCATACACTGTCCTCTGACTATTTCCCCCTAAATAGCATCACTCTTTTTATAATTTGGCCACGATTATACACTGACAGGAATCTGGAACGCATTGGCGCCCAAAATCTACATCTCCCCCCCCCCCCCCCCCCCCCCCCCCCCCCGAAAGAAAAAGGCTCAAGTGCACAGACTCACTAATGCACAAGTCAATAAAATACAACGTAACCAAAAAGTCACTAAAATGAAAAAGAAGGAATAATCTGTAATAAAAGAGACTATATTATAAAGGACCTTATTTTTGTTGATACCTTTTGCCTCAACAACAAGAACCTTGCATCCTGGTACATTCTGCTGGATACGATAAGCTGCAGTCAGACCAGACAGCCCCGCCCCTACTACCACCACGTCACACTCCTGGTCTCTCTTCTCTGCCATTTCCTGAAACCTGGAAAAACAAAGGGGAAGAGGTGTTTCATTTTAAGATAATATGAATACTTTAAGGACAAGATTATTATCATCATTAAGAGTCATTATACAGGCATTTCAGAACACCTAGCAAAATGAAGAGCCATGTTGTTGGCCTCTGCCACGTCCCTCCAAGTGCATGACTCAGTCTGTTGCAGTGTTGATGTATCCCCACGTGTGCATATCGACTTTGCATCTCCCCACACCTGAATGCATTCTACAGTATTATTGACTAAACCATGAGATTCATAGTAGATCAAAGTGTACAGGGACCGACTCACAATTTTTAGCTGTGAGCTGGCTGCATTGGTTTTGACAAGGGTGAATTGATGTTATGTTTAAAGAAAAGTGAGGCGGTTATTTGACAAACTTACGCGCGTACCTATTTCTAAGGCTGTGCATAACCCTGTAATGAGGTACTCAAGTACACTCCCAGGCTTACAGGCGAATACTCGGATGGCATTTTTTTTTTTGCCACCACCATACTACGGGTACGCCAGCAGTATCCCAGGTACGTCTCCGAAAACTCACACGATTTTACTTTGATTTGCAGTTGAAGACGCCGATTTAATAATAATAATAATAGTAAACAATGGTGTTTTAAACACCAAAGATGACAAACTAATCCATTTTCCTCCGAGTCCAAACAGAAATCCGGACATTTGGTCCCAGTTTCTGAGCGGTGAGTTGACAGTGATTGAGCTGGGAAACATTTTTACCCACAGTACCATGCCGGCACTCTCCCGGGCGCTTGGCACAGGTAAGCGTCAGCCTGGACAGTGCCAGGTGTACGGGGAAAAGAAGAAAAAAAATGGCGGCCGATTATTCGAGTACGATAAATCGCACTCGAGTAGTTGTCAACAGTGCGAGTACTTGAGTATTCAACTACTCATCATGGCCTTAGCCACATACTTGCAGCTGCTTGCGACTGCGATTTTGGTTGTGACTACCGCTAGCAATGTTTAGAATACTGTGTGTGCTTCAGTTATGTGTGAAGTATGTCACCTGTTTAAAGCACGACGTGTCAAAATCTGTGTGGAGTGACGTAATATAGTATTATTATGTATTGACTTTGCCACAGAACTTAAGTTGCGCTTAAGTTAAGTAGGCCCTATCTTACTTAAATTTGAAGCCACTTGAGAGTGTAAACTCACTGTACGGCGCTCAATGTGCAAAGTTCTTCGTGGTGATTGCACTTTTTGCAGTATAAATTATGTTATTTTGGTGGATTACTCGGCATACTCGTGATATAGGCCCCGCAACTGTTGTAATCGATTATACTTCTGTACTAGGCTTCTAACTTCAGCCAACTCACTTATATATACTCGTGATCGAGGCCCCGTGCATTGCGGCATTGCGCGTCCTACAGTACTGACACGGGGCCTGTATCACGACTATACTTCTATACTCGTTATCGAGGCCCCGCGCTACGGCATTGCACGCAATTTAACACAGCAGCGGGGCCTGTATCACGAGTATACTATAAGAGTTTGCTATTCAACTCGCTAATATATACTTGTGATACAGGCCCCGCGCAACAGTGTTGCATGTTCTACAACACGGCCATGGGGCCTGTATCATGACTATGTATACTCGTGAACAAGGCCCCATCCTATGCATTTTCATGACGGACAGCACGGCAGTGGGGCTTCTTTCACCCAAGTGTTTAAGGGTGTTTCGAGGTTTAATAAAGGGAAAGGATTAAAAATGGAGTTAAAAAGTGAGTTAAAAAAGGGGTTGAAAGGGACGATTCTGGTAATTAAAATTAGGAGGGGGGGGGGGGCAACTTGAAAGATATTAAAGAATTTAAAGAGAGGGGGGCTAACTCATATAAACATTTGAGGATAAATTTGATTTTTTTAAATTTTTTTAATCTAATTAAAATCTATATTATCAACACAATTATTTAAAGGGAAGGCAAAAATGAAAATAGACACCTTACAAATAAATAAATAAAAACGGAGTGCGAGGGGAGGGCACCATGTTTGATAGAATCCGATTTCCAATCCCACCCCCTTGATATTTATTTTAAATTTTATTATCCTCTTTTAGAATGCAAGGGAATTCATACCCTGATCCCCCTCCCCCCTTGCTCCAAGTTGACACCCCTATGCAAATTTAGGGTAATAGAAAGGGATGTATTGAGGGGTGTTTCAAGGTTTAATAAAGGAGAAGGGAAAGGAGTTAAAGATAAACTCCAGTACTGGTAAAAAAAAAAAATAATTCTCACAGAATCAAACAAAACTTACACTGAATGTTCACGATTACAAATGAATGACATGTGCCAAACAATTTTGGAAGAAAATGTATACTGGCTGAGTAATGAGCATAGAAAGACAAGAAAATCAAGGTAGTACTAGCCCCGACACCATGTGTGTTGTCCCATATATAGCTTTCTATGTGAGTGCTTGTTACTTTACCAAGACTCGGTCAAATTTATTATGATTTTGATGACTCCAGAACCTTGCAGTGCACACCAATACTTACATGCTACATGATCAACTGTTTCTGATCCTTTCCACACCTTATCTTTCACAATGCAATCGCATTACCAGTACTAAAGTTTATCTTTAAAAGGAAGTTAAGAAGGGGATTGAAAGGGACTAATTTTATAGTTAAATTTTTTTTTTTTTTTTTTTTTTTGGGGGGGGGGGGGGGGAACTTGATTAGATATTTCAGTAGGAAAAATATTAGAATCAGGGGTGATAGTGAGCACTAAAAAAAAATAGTTTTTTGTTTTCCCCTCAACCACGCCCCCTTGAGTACATTGATTCGCGGGGGAAAAATGGAATCTAACAACATTCCCCCCCTTTCGAGTAAGAAAATTGGGGAAAAAAAAAGGGCAAAATAGGGAAGAATAGAGAAAATAAGGGGGAAATTGGGAAAATCAGGATAAAATAGGGAAGGAAAACAAATCTGGTAAAAAAAAATTAAAAAAAATAATCGGGAAACCGATTTAAATCAGGTTTTTATCAGGCCTGTTAGAATAAAGATAATCTTAAGAGTGAGAGCAACTTAAATAGACGTTTGAGTATCTCAAAAAAGGGGTTGAAAGGGACTTTTTTAAAATTAAATATTATAAGGGGGCTACTTAAAAAAGATATCAAAGAATGAAAATATTAAAAAACCAGTGAAATTTAAAAGAGAAGGGGCAACAAATATACAATTGAGTGTAAATTTAACATTTAATATTAACAACATTATTCAAAGGAAGGGCTCAAATGCAAATTACACCTTTTAAAAATTAAAAAAAGTGAGTGCAAGGGGAGGGCACCAAAGCAATGGATGGGGCCTTGTTCATGATCGAGTATACAGTATAGTCGTGATACAGGCCCCATGTCCGTGTTGTAGAACATGCAACGCCGTTGCGCGGGGCCTGTATCACGAGTATATATTACTTATTAGCGAGTTGAATAGGAGACTTGTATAGTATACTCGTGATACAGGCCCCGCTGCTGTGTTAAATTGCGTGCAATGCCGTAGCGCCGGGCCTTGATAACGACTATAGAAGTATGGTCGTGATACAGGCCCCGTGTCAGTGCTGTAGGACATGCAATGCTGTTGCATGGGGCCTCGATCACAAGTATATAGTGAGTTGGCTGAAGATAGAAGTCTAAGATAATATCTAATCGATTACAAGACGGGTAAGTTGCGGGGCCTATTTCACGATATTGCCGATTACTCAGCATTTGTCATCAACTTTCCAAAAACGATAACATCTAGGGTAGAGTGCCCAGTATTCGGTCACTTAAGGGGAAATCACTAATATTTTGAATTCTCTCCTCTTTTATTTGGCAATCTACCCATCAAAAGAAAAGAAATTTATTCCTCTAACAGGATTTTATAGTCACTTAAAATATAGAATAATGATAAGCAAAATACTTCCGAAAGAAGACGGAGCATTTTTCTGCCCAGAATTCGGTCGCGCCGATTAGAATTCGGTCACGCGATTTGTGCGTGGTATCTCCGTTGCCAAATAGCGAAGCGTATTTGCGCACTATTTTCACACAATTGCGCGATAAAGCACTGAATGTCAATGCGTTGACCGAATACTGGCCGAGCGATACCGCATGGCAAGGGTATCGTATAAATACCTCTCGCACATCGGCAAATGCGTCATTTGCAAATTCACTGCGATGGAGTGAACACGGAAGTGATTCTCTTCACACACATACTAAATTCATTGCGACAGCACACGCAGTTGTTTCGCAATAGACTTCTACATATGGCTATGCATGTTAGCGCATGTGCTAAGAGAACGCAGAAGTGCAGAAAGTCTTGCGACACTGACCAATTTTGAGCTAAGTTGGAGATCTTTCTGGGGCCCTAAATCTGATTTAATTTTGAGAGTTAAGAAAAGTTGTTCAGCTGCCTGATTTGTGCAAGTTTCGTGGCTCTTAAATTATTTTTTAAATTGTTACAGCTGTTGAAACGGCTGTCTGACCGAATACTGGGAATTGACCGAATACTGGGCGCGCTACCCTATATTACAATACATTTAATGATACCCTCGATTAGCCATGGCCGGTGAACATGCACTGCAGCACCTGCACTGTTCATGTTGATTACAAGCCTGTGCAGTGCAAGCAAGTCATTTGCATTGCTTGCCTGCGCAGCTCCGTATACTTTGCACGAATACCCAGCTCCGTATACCGTTGTCATGCCAGAACTCGGACAACTTTTTGTATTATTGACAACAAAATAATTTAGAGTCTTATCACCATTTCTGATACCATGTAATTTGAAGCAAAATGTCTGGCCTTTCTCCTGATAATATTTGTTTGTCCTCTCGATCTGTTAATCGCCAGTGGCGAAGCTTTCGCCGAACGTATGTTTCATGCCAGAACACGCACACAATATGCTAGAACATGAACACTAGATGGCGACATTTCAGTGTTTACCCGATGTTTTCGCCGTTGGCTGACTTTTTAGAATTATTTTTATTTCTCGACGAAATACAACATTATTTTATTCTATAGA